ATCTGGATGCCATATCAACAGAAAACACATTTCTGCTAATACGGCACCTATCAATTTCTATAATTAACCATGCAGATTAATTACAAATTCACATGGTCTGCTGTAGGATTCAAAGCCGCGTGTCTCACCCACAAAATTGCTTGCAAGTGAGACAACTACGCCACCGAAACGATTGTTACATAAAATTCATTAATTATATGTTATTGATCAGGATAATAAAAATAATTTAGGACAAAAAATATCCGGTATTAAACTAATACATTTTCGTATATTTTATATGGATGCGGTGTTTCCAAATTAAACAAAATATAAGTTTTTATTAATTCAACACTTTGGCTACCAAACCAAATTTCAGGATTTTATTCTGTGGTACCATATGAATCACCGGTGATACAATCGATTGGGGTCCCTTCTGTACAGTGTGTATCACTAGTGATATTATTGAGCATTTCTTATTGCAATCAATTTTAAGAATGTATATGATTCCAATTTAAAGGACTTTAAACTAAAGAACCGGTACTGGAAGGGACCTAAGAAAGTAGATACCACCAGTGATATACAGAAGTGTGTAAAAATCGTAGTTTAGTTTGATATGAATTAAGTATAGCTACTGTTGTATTTATACATTTACTTTAACAAAAAAAAATACAATGTACAAACATTTAGGACCAATAATAATCGAAACTACCTGGTACACAACAGGAGACTTTCTTTTATGGTACATGAAACTAGTCGAATTATGTATCAAATGTGATACATATGGAAGGCAACGTGTTAAAGGTAGTTCTTAAATATTTTGATAGTATATGGTACATTCTTAAAAAGGTTAGAGGGAAATAATAATATTATGTAAAAAAAGAAATAAAGTAATGGTAGGTAACTCGAAAACAAGACAATTTGGAAAAATGTTATCAGGATTTTGACTCATAAAGTCTTGATTCGGCAGTAAAAAATAAGACAATCTGGAAAATATCAATTAAATATAGATATATTTTATTATTTTTTATTTTTCTGAACGTTTTCCAGTAACCAATTTAATTTATTTCGTAAGACACAATTAATCACTACTCTCTTAGTATGCAGTAATCGTCGATAATATTTTTCTTTTACAACTTCAAGAGTACAACAAGGTGCCCACTCTGGACCTCTCTTGTTTAATATATACATTATCGATATTGCGAAGAATTTACTAATGCTTCCGAAAGTTTACTTATACAGTGCATTCGCGTATTTATGACAGCCGCGTAATTGTGACAGTTTCTTATCATTTAAATTTCCCGCGTGTTAAGAGCGCTACGCATGTAGCACTCGTTTTTCAGCAATGAGACTTCGTGTTTCCGCTGTTCTGCCGGTTCGTCCGAGGTAAGTCGTTTAAAATGTCGTTTTAAAACGTAATTCATGATAATTTTATAACAAATTGTGTAACTGTCATGTTTAGGAAGTTAAAATTTGGATTCAATGTGCATTTACTGATTTTTTAGTAGTATATCAAATGTTTACATGTTTTATAACCTAAAAATAATGTTTGATGGCAAATGACGGGGTGTCACATTTAACCGTTAAATTGTTCACTGGTTTTAAATGTGACAAAATTGAGGGTTTATTTGTGACAAGAGTAAAAATCCTAATTTTTATCTTTTCGATTAGTGTACAGTATGTACCTCATTGTATTATCAGGATACAGTACATACACATTATAGTTACACACTAATGAAATATCATTATTTAAAAAAAAGCATTTATAGTCCATAATCCATAAAAACTTGAACATTTTTTTTATTGATCGCAATCAAAATGCCAAAGAATAAAGAAAAAAGGTGAAATCCTACACACCAGAAGATCTAGCAAAAGCAATACAAAGTATTAGAGAAAATATCTATTCTGTTAAAAAGGCAGCGGAAGTTTTTCGCGTGCCTCAATCTACACTAATTTCCCGTACCAAAGATTGGAAAAATAGAAAACAATCAACAAAAGAAAACCCTGGTCGTTCTGTAGACTTGAGCCCCGAAGTAGAAGAAAAGTTGGCGTTGTATTTAAAGACACTAAGCAAATGGGGTTTCGGTCTTTCCCGGAAAGAGATACTGGTACTTGTTGGAAGATATGTGCAAGAAAATAATGTGCAAACTCAATACCTGGAAATAACTGGTTTTTGGGTTTTAGAAAGCGACATGGTCTTTCTTGTAAAAAAACCTATAAAAAGACCAATTATTAGAACAGAACAGACGATGCCGGAAATAATTTATGGTTTTTACGATTTGTATGAGTCTACATTGAAAGAACTGTGATTACTTGATAAACCAAGCCAAGCAACAAATCAACCTGTGTTTCGTCAAACTGCTGATACTGGTAGGACTAACATTTCGATATTATTTACAATTTCGGCAAATGGTGACAAGATGCCTCCATTTATCTTGTATCATGCGAAGCACCTATGGGATATTTGGATGCCTGAGGAAGCTTATCCAAACACTGGATATGCTGCTACCAGTGCTACCCTACGCGGATGGATGACGGAAATAGCATTTTTTAACTGGTTTAAAAACCACTTTTTAAAGCATTGCCCAAAAGAACGGCCCCTTCTTGTTATTTTCGATGGCCATTCATCGCACTCATCTTTGGATCTAATAGAATTAGCTATTAAGGAAAACATTTGTCTTCTCAAACTACCTATGCACACGACACATATTCTGCAGCCGTTGGATTCGCTCGCGTTTGGTGTTTTTAAAAAATCATGGGATGAAGAGTTAACTGTATGGCAGCGACAACACTACGGACGTCAAGCATACTTCTACATTTTAGTAGGAAAAATTTGGACAGAATTTCCACAAAAATTGTTAAAAAAAATAATTTCAGTTGACTGGCTTATTTAATTATAACAATCCAGATAACCCTGTACATATAACTGTTGTTAAAGAATCAATCTTTAGACCAAATAATCTTCAAGAATATTTCAAAAAACAAATTACAAACAATGCTCAAGAGGAAGCTTTACCAGTTCGTGACGTTGAAGTTGAAGGGGAAAGAAACTTAGGGTCAAGAATGGACTCTGAAGACGATATGGAACCGGTTCCTTCTACTAGTAAAAGTCCAATTCCTTGTACTAGTAAAGGCCCAATTATCTCTTTTGAATCTCTGCTAATAGACAAGATTGCAACAGAAAATAAAGACGTTATGAAACGCAAAAAAGTTAGCAACAATAACGCCGAGATACTAGAGAAAATTATTTATTACAGTTGAAGAAACAAAGCGTTGAAAAGAAAAATAGAAACTGAAGTTGAAGAAATAGAACACGAAATATCAAGCAGTAGCGACACCGATGAAATTCTAACTCTCAAACATTTAGTAGAAAATGAACAAGAAGAGTTAAATTATGAAAAGGAACTGGAAAACCCCGATGAAGTAAAGGAGGGTAGCTGGGCCCTAGTTGATTATAAAACAACCAAAATTACGAAAAGGTATGTTGGACTTATATTGGAAGTTTTTGCGGAAGAAAAGCTGTTGATTAAGTTTTTCGAAAGAAAAGAAATAATGTATTTGTTTGGCCAATTTCTGAAGATATAGATAGTGTGTGCTCTGATTCCAAAACCCATTGATGGAAGACGAAATGAAAAGATCTTTTCAGTGAAGTTTGATGGCGTTAATGTTTATTAACTTTTTTTATTATTTTGTCCTTTTTGTTATAAAACAAAGATGTTTTCTAGTTTTGTGTACTTGGGTATAAATATGTTGTTTTTTATTTATAGAGCAAATACTTATTTTCCAAAAAATGTATACATATTTCCCAATGAAAGCATTATGTGTATTGAATAGGTAAGTAAGATGATTGGTTGGACGCAGAAATTTAGGCCGTTTTATTACTTTTAACAAATTACAGGTTTTTTCTGAAAAAATAAGAAATCTGTCACAAATACCCGAAAGCACTGTACCTACGAAACGAACATGATAGATTTGCCAAAACAATTAGGTACCATTTTCCTTTAATATTTTGGTACTTTGATTCGAAACTTCTCAATCCTTTATACAGGGTGACCCAAAAACATACCGACAAACTTTAAGTGGTAATAGGAGGACATCAAAACAAACCTTTTTTGTTTATTACATATGTAGGCTGTAGAGCAATAAATTGTTTTACATCATTCCAATTTTTTGTTTCAACTACGTTTTTTTGTGAGAGCAACAACATTTCTTTATCACAATAAACATTCCAAAGCTGTCAATTTAAAGACCGTAGTACTATTTGTTAACTAAAAATTTGTGCCGAAAATGGACGACTTCTTATTTCAAGAACCTACTGATGAATTATTTTCTAAACGATCAGTGTTCTATTGCATATTGTTCTTGAATTTATATTCAATTTATTTTGATCACTTTTTGTATTAATTTAACTACGACTGTTGTTTTTAGTTGCATTTATTTTCAAAAATAAAACAAGTTGCCCTCATTTCGTTGTGTGTATATACTTTTTAATGTTTTTATTTTTATCCTTTAGATATTATACATCATGAAAAAAGTTAGCCTTTCGTTCGCGTCCATCCAATATATAAAATGGATTTAATTTCCGTTGTACTTTTTAAAGGAACTCTCGTCGCAATATTTTCTCGTACACGCAATTTTCGAAATATAACTTTTCTAATATCAGTATTCACAATCACCGACAACATTAATACCGTTTTAACTCGATTAGTTATATTTATAGCCACTCTAATTTACTCAAATATATTTACCCACACATAAATCCAATTCTCATAACAAACATATTGATTGTGCATTAGCAAAAGAGTCATGATCCGTATTTAGATCAATTTGTTGATTTGATTTTGTTGTATTTAAATATATTAGAGTCCTAATTTTGGTAAATTACTTTTAACAAATATCTGTTTATTACAGATGATCCTCCCTTCGCATAAAAGTTGAGGAAGTTAATGGAACAATTCCATGAGCTATGGATTATACTTTTTCTATTATTTGTACATTCAACGACATATTTTTATTTATTTCAGGCACTCTTATATCTTATCACTCTATTGGATCCAATCGTCAGGGGAGACTATGTCATAGCCTATTTCCATACACTGACATCCAGTAACAACTACCCATCGTTTTCTTGGTTGAAAGAAGTCTATAACGTTTTGCCTTACAAGTACAAAAAGAATTTGAAAGCTTTCTACGTGGTACACCCCACTTTCTGGACAAAGGTAATGTAATGTTTATTTATACAGTTGTTATTTAATTTATTTACACTAAAACACTAATTTATATTATGACTTAATTTATTTGTACTAAATACAACATTAATATTTATCTATTTTACTAATACACTAAAATGTACTTAAATGGCAAAAAACAGACTATTTATATATACAAATGTGACATTCTCGAATGTTCAAGACTTAGACTAAGAATCAGCGCATCCGCCAGAACATATTATGGCAGTTCATCCATCAAAATAATTGTTGTTTATTGATTATTCATCGTGGTGTCCAGTACATTCCAGTATGATGATTCACTTCTATTGGCGTTAACCACGGGCGTATCATAGGGGTTTCGGATGTTGATTTATTCGATAAAATATTCTTGGGAACAGAAAAATGAAGACCCAAGTGAGGAAAAGAGGGACTTAAGAGATTAGAGCAAGACCGGACAGTTAGATTCGGTACTAACAAATTATACTAATGAAAAAAGGGACACAGGACACAGCTTTGACTAAACTTTGATACTTCTTCATATACTGTTAATTATAATTTTTGATTTTGTAGTCTTTACCCATAAATTTTTGGAATTTTTGTATTTAACCAGTTAAATACTTTAATGGTGCATGTATGTTTGAGTGTAAGTTTCACACAATTAATTTTATTAGCGGCCGATATCGAAGTATCTATATACTTCATCATCAGGCACAATTAAATGGATAATTGTTAAGTCAACAATATGTACTCGTTCAGTGCGAAATCATGGTAGGGGAAGCAAAAGCGATACTAGCACTAGCTGCGGATAATTCGTACATTTTAGGGCGATATTTTGTATTTTGGCATACTAAATACACGTATACATTTTACTTTTTTTTTTTTTAAAAATTAGGTAAAAATAATACAATAAGCAAACGGAGTTGCTATGTTGAATATTGTAAAAATACTAGCAAAAAAAAAACAGTGTAAATTATAAAAATTTTCAATAGCAAAGTGGAAATTAAATGGATAGGTGTAAAATAAGAAGAAAAATTACCTTTAATTTTAAAATAATAATAGTAATACTGGAAATAGTAGACATCAGAAACTTGAAAGCTAACCTAACCTAACCTCGCGGTTAGACACACCCTATATACAACAGCAAATAAATTAGTCAAATAAAATTGACGATGTGCAAATGTATAACTACCTGCAGGGTGTTTAAAAAAGTATAGATTTGATCAGCACCTCGTTTATTGCCCACCCTATATATTTAAGAATAATTGTTACATACGGTTATACAACTTTTATAGTAAAAATTTCCAATAATAAGACAGCTATTGATCAATTAAGCACTGGGACACCCATGTGTTATTGAATAGGTAAATTTATAAGGAATTTTATGCTAAAATTGCATTGGAAAAAATTGAGTAAATTGAACTTTAAATTTAGCCATATTTGACTTGTTTCAAAACACTCTGTATACAATATTCCAGTTCTATCACCACTATTTGTTAGCTTACTATCTTATTAGCCTGTATTTTAAAAAAAATTTAAATCATTGTAAACCTATCAAAATTATAATAATTTAATTTGGTGTCTGCGTCACTCTCTAATTTCATAAAAAAAAATAATTTCTTGGCAAACATGTAATATTTAAAAAAAATCTAGGGTTGACTACAGTATTACCAAACTATTTTTAAACTGAAATAAAATTTAATTAAAAAAAAAAATACATTATTTGCCAGACAAAAACGCAGCCCCTGTATATCCAAAAATATTTTTAAAATCCATATAACTTGTTTGCCTGTCTATAACACAAATTGAAATATTAAACAATTACGCACTCATGAGACACCCTGTATAATTTCGCCGAAATCACTATACATAATTTCTAATGAATGATCAAGAGTAATACACCACTAGAGGTCAGGTAGGAATTTTTTTAGAAAATTTTGTTTTGTAAATTTGCATAATTTGTAAGGAAACAAAATATTCTTAAAAAAAATTCTCACCTGACGTGGTATTTGGAAATATTATTTAATATAAATAGAACTTTTAAGTACAATTTAGCGTAAATTTTATTTTAGAAATGTATTTAAACCAAGAAGATTTTTGATTTGATTTTTCGTCACTTTTTTGACATACTTAAAACATTTACATTTCACAGAATTGAGTGAAGAAAACACTTCGTCACTCAGTGTTTTCAGCTAGTTTTTTTTGATTGGCTTGTGTTGGAAAAATAGAGAATTGTCATTGGTTGATGTATTATAGTGTTAAATAATCATTATTATTTTACCATTTCTCCAGAAAAAATATAAAATTTTTCTTGAGGAATATATTCAAAAGTCCCTTACTTTGTCTTCACTAAAACATTAAATTTAAATAATTCTTCCACCACTTCATCCAACTTTCACAGCTCTAATATACTCGTAATTTAATTTTTTCTTTTATCCGCTCTTATTCTTTCAATTTTAATACCTTCACTTGCCATTTACAACATTTCTCCACGTTTATTAGAATAGTTTACACTTCTCATCTATTCTATATACTTGTCAACGTGTTACTTTTTAAAAAATTGAAATTTTTCCACATACTCTTACGATTCTAAGTGTCCGGTTTTTCTTATTGCCAATTGTAAAACTTCAGTTAAACCCATTATCTATTTTAACATTTTCCTATAACATTATTTTTCTTTTGATTGTCTTGTTCACAATATTTTAATGAATATGTACAATTTGTTAATGTTATCATTGTTTTTGTATTTATCATTCTAATTGAACAATCTGTTTATTCAAAAATGTAATATTTAATATTTATCTACATCTCAATTTAGTAAATAATATATTGATTTTATTATTTTTAATTCATTATCATCGGTTTTAAAACCATCTCACATAGAGCTCTCCATGGTAAATTTCTTTAAAATGTTTTTAATTTTAGTTAAATTTTAAATCCAACTCCATTTTGGTTTCAGTTTACGTGTAAAAAAAATCGATACATTTTACACGTGGACTAATCATTTTTCTTAATTATTCCAATTTTACTTTGCATTTCAATTTAACTTATTGTATCAAAGAACTTTTTCTGCCGCCTTCCTAAGTTGAACACTTTAGTATGTAATGCAACCAGTTGTTAGTGCCAACGTGCGTATTGATTTTCTAAATAAATAAAGCAAAAAAACCGTCGCACATCGCTCTAAAGATTTTTTTTTATTATTGGTACAAAAACCTCGAACAAGAAGCTTCGCTGTAAAAGTTTTAAACCCGGATATTTTTCAAACGGCCGTTCCTCAATTTAAACCATTTTTAAGTAGTTTTATGTTTTATGCGAAACTTGTTTAAAATTAGTTTTTGTGCACTTGTTATACAATTTATAGCGGGCGCAGAAAAATGGTGTTACGGAAATATGCTAGTATTAATGGCGAAGCCTTTTCTTCATACAAAATTTAAATATATTATATTTATATATATGGGAAACCTCATATTATTTGTGTGCTGACTGATGTAAAGTCAATTACGTCACTGAATTTATTTTTCGGTTTTATAAGAAAGCTTTTAGAATCTTAACTGGTTCCAGATTTAGAGAACATTATCATTCCTTGTTTAATCAGCAAAGAATAATGCCACTACAAACTATTTATATATTTAGTGTCCTTATGGAAATTTTTTAAAAATTGTTATGCCTCTCTAGACAGTCCTACATTCACAACTATCCCATCAGACAAGCTAACAACTTAAGATTAAATAGATTTCCATTAAATAAATCAAAAAACAATTCGCTCTACCTCGGCCTTTATAATATAGAGTTTGGGCTGTTGAAGTTCAGTTAATTGAGAAAAAATTGAAAACATTTGTTAGTTCGAATGTATGTAGATATATCGTTGTGTAGTTATGTTGTTTAGCACTATTATTTTGATACTGCAATATATGCTATGTGAATCCTGATACAGATATCAGCTATTACTGTCTATAGTTTAAATGTTGGCACATAACAGTGTTTTATTATTTGATTTATAAAATCAACGGATTTTTTTAGCACATATCAAATATTACCAACCGATGCACAAATATAGCTGGAATACAACCAAACCTAAAATTCGCCATAAAGTGTACAAAGCAGGTATTGCACAATCAACAATATACTTGCTACAAACATATTGTACTATGTAACGTAGTCAAATAAAATTACTTTACTTTACTTTACTTTACTTTACTTTACTTTACTTTACTTTACTTTACTTTACTTTACTTTACTTTACTTTACTTTACTTTACTTTACTTTACTTTACTTTACTTTACTTTACTTTACTTTACTTTACTTTACTTTACTTTACTTTACTTTACTTTACTTTACTTTACTTTAATTTACTTTACTTTACTTTACTTTACTTTACTTTACTTTACTTTACTTTACTTTACTTTACTTTACTTTACTTTACTTTACTTTACTTTACTTTACTTTACTTTACTTTACTTTACTTTACTTTACTTTACTTTACTTTACTTTACTTTACTTTACTTTACTTTACTTTACTTTACTTTACTTTACTTTACTTTACTTTACTTTACTTTACTTTACTTTACTTTACTTTACTTTACTTTACTTTACTTTACTTTACATACCTGTTCATAGATGAAGCACACCAATATCCACGATACTCTCGGTACATTAAAAACAATGAACAACATTTTTAGCTAGATTTGGAAAATACGAATTATTTATAAGGCTTCTAAAAATATTAAGCAATGGTCAGAAATTTTATTTATTAAAAAATAAGCAATATTTGTTTCACATTGAGTAAAAGCAAATACTAAATTTTTATTTTTGCCTAATGGACAATGTCCCTGCTCAACAAATCCAACTTTACACGCATCTGATTTTTATTCACAAAATCCATTATCATACATCTAAACCGTATTCATAAATTCAATATCATTCCAAAACAGATAAATCCCTAAATCACTCTTAAAACTGGATCAAGTAAAACGCTCAATTACATTTTTTACATAATCTCGTATCGAGAAGTATGTTGATAATTTCGAAACGAACCAGATCCGTACTTAAAATTTAAAGGAATCATATCTCTCTAATTTTTACGTCCTTTTTTATTGATTATTTACAATAAAGACATCATAAACAGTTACTTTTGTAACAGTGAAGAGTGGATTTCCCCCATGTTATTTAGGCCTCCCTAGGCCCATTGTGCATCCTGCTAAATTTATAGCTCCCTCTGAGCTCGTCAGCCAGCCTACAATAGTTGGTAGGTCTCCAGTAAACCTTCCAAGGCAGTGAACCAATGAGATACTGTATGACCTCAAATTAAATCAAGTTGTTTACTCTGGTTTCAAATTTTGTTCTCTTTTAATACTAAATATGTTAGAGGAAGGAATTCTTTAATCTAGAAATACTGATTTTGATACTTATTTTGTGACGGGTTTTTTTAATATTCTATTTACATTTTCTTTCTTTTTTTGTAGATGATGACGTGGTGGTTTACAACATTTATGGCACCAGCAATAAAACAAAAAGTTCACAGTTTACCGGGTGTGGAATATCTCTACGCTGTTATGTCACCTGATCAACTTGAAATTCCCGCTTTTATTACAGAACATGACATGTCTGTAAGTATAAACTTTTTTAATTTGTTTTATTTCAGTATTATAATTTGATATTTTATATTATTTTAATATAAATTCAATTGTTACCTGTTCAATCTACACTCTAAGAAATTAATGCACCAGTTAGTAATACATAGACTATTCTTGACAAACCAACAGTTATATATAATTGATTTATAATTGACGAGTTTAAAGAAATCATTATGAAATAATACTTGTAAAAAATAATCTTTTACAAAAGAGAAAAGAATCAAACAATTTTTTTTTCGATATTATATCGAGTATTTCAACCTCTACTTTGGATAACAGTCTCCATGGTATTGAATTCAGCCTCTTGAAGATAATTTTAAACCACTCGAGCATTATGTGGACGTACATTATCTTGTATTAGCAAAAAAAAAATTGACCGATGGTAAAACATGTTCATTCAGAATGTTCGTTATTTATCAAGTAAATAAGTAGTAACATTTTACATTAAACGCCGTTTGTGTAATGCAGATCCAACAAATATTAATGAAGATATATGCTTAGGTCCATTTAGCAATCGTATTTTTTCTTATGTAAATAACGTCTAACTGCCATTGAATTCCGTTTGTTTCATTCAAATTGAACATATAATAATGGAGGTATAGACTTAGGTTCTTTTAGCAATCGTATGTTTTTTTATTGCAAATGATATGTAAATTGCTTATTGCATTGAATGACGTTTGGTTCATTCAAATCGAACCAATATTAAGAGAGATTATAGACTTAGGTACTGTTGTCAGCTTTATTTTTTTATGTAAATGACATTTTCCATTTAAAGCCGTTTTTTGCATTCTATTCGAACCATTAATAACAAAATTATATAATTTATTCATATAGTATCAGAAGGATCTTGATTACAGAAAAACTAACCCAATCAATATATCGAACTGAGTGCTGTTGAATCTTACTCTATTTGCTCCAAATCGCTATCTTCATTCCTTCAATATATAAGAAAATAACTGTAGCTAATTTTTCAACGACAACGTTGAACGATGACCATTGTCAAACCTACGTCACTTCTTCAGCTCCTTTTCTTCATCTTCGAGTTTCCAGCGGTTTCTTCAACGTCTTTTTCGTCACTCCTTTAATTCCTCTTCTTAGTCTTCGAACAGTTCAAGTTGAATACCGCTTGGTGCTCTGGATGATTAATTTTGACGCCTTAGACCACTTTTGCTTACTCCCCACCACTTTGAAGCTTATGTCCTTTTGACAAACGCGTGTAAACCTGTAAATGACAGTTAACATCGAATGCCGTTTACCTTGTTCAAATGATGTCATATATTACATTAGTATGTCATTTTCCGCACTCCCCCGTTTTCCCCCATTCCATTCGTACCATTAATAGCCGATATATACGTTAATGCCCTTTTGGTTTTGCCACTGCGTATGATTTTTCTCATCAACGTTAATATATGCCAAGTCTCATTCATAATGCTGTTTGTCCCAATAATAGTGGAGATATTAAGTAATGCCCTTTTGGCATTCCCATTACGCATAGCTTTTCTTTTTAGCGTTAATCTATATTAAGTCTCCTTCATAGTCACGTTTGTCCTATGCAAATCGGACGAACTATAGCGGTAATATTCGTTAAAGCCCTTTTTGCTTTATTTTTAGTTTATCTCGTATAATTTTTCGTTTACCTACATGTAAATGATGGCCGCTATCTTAGCCAAGTAGCAAACCACTTATTGCTAGTTTCAATATGCTATTTTAGTGATGATGTAATTATGGTTCCACTGACAATTAAAGTGACAATAGATTTTTTTTTTGAGTGCGTTTTGTTCGTTTTTTTTTTCCTAAATTATATCGTTGTTTCACTTTTATAAATATATTCCTAAAGCAAGTAGATAACATGCATCAAATCAATCGTATACTTACCAATACATACCTTTAAACTATTTTTTATGATCTGTAAACAATATTTAGAAAAAACTAAAAACAGTAAAAACATATGTCAAATTTATTGATGTTTTTGTTAAAAGTTTGGTTAGAATTAAATGTCAGTGGAACCAAAATGACGTCACACTAAACTAGCGTATTCTCAACACTGGCAGGTGGAGCAGTGACTTTTTGTTCTATCACGATTAAGAATGTGCGAGCTTGCAGAGAAATTCCTCCTTAGACCATAACTGATCCTCCGCTGAACAATGTGGTACCCACAATGATGCATGGGTTTCGTCACTTATTTTAACATTAATATAAACGAACGTTCCTAACCTGCCTCTAACTATTTAACATGATTTCTTGCAAAATTCAAACGAGATCTACGATGATCTATGGTCTACGATCAGGGCGGAACCTTGCAATGGACAATGTTTCAATACTGTGACGTTTATTTATTTTAAAACAGTTTAATATTTAATTTATTTACAATTATATTCACTAATTTATTTACAACTTAACAGTAATTTATCTCAAATACTTATTTTTTATATCAGCACTATTAATTTACATTGACAATTTAACTTTACACATCTTTCTATCAACTGACCTCCCAACAACACAACATCTTATGTACAAATGGGATGAGCTAGACCTGTTCTCGAAAGTACCAAATGCTCGAGAGCGTCCAGATCAGTCTAGAATCGACCAAGTACCGTCATCGCCTCTAGTAGACTTATCTAGTAATTTCGCATGGATGTCTGAATGTCTCTCCCATCGACTAGATAATGTTACAGACCAGAATCGGACTGATTGAAAATGATTCGCACAACAATACTAATTCGAATATCGTAAGCGTATTAAAGCTGATATTTTAAATTTCTGCATTTAACAAAACATTGTCTACTCAAATAAATTCAAAAGATGTTGATGTTTTTTAGCACTTATACCTTTGTAAATTTTCCGAATTGCAGGCAACTCATGTGGAATAGAATTTTTTTTTTTTCTGGAAAATCTATTCAAATCAACACTTTTAAATTCGTTATCAGTAAAGTCTGTTTTATAATAAAGCAGACCTGAACTTTGACGACGTACTTCTAGCCATACTGCTAATGAAATAAGGAAGTTTTCTTTTTCTGTATTGATTTTTCGATTAACAAATGGGACATTTGAAAATGTGTATAAAAGATCAAATTTTTTGAAATCAGTTACTTCCATGTTCCAAACTGTAGCCCCAGTTGATCTAATCAACTGTTGCCAATCCCAAGGTGTAGCTATCGTCATTTTTCGCTGCTTTTTTACGGTCCGCTCAATCAGAGCGTGAACATGGCCTGCTTCCATATGAGTATGACCCCTGAGAAGAAACTTATGTATTACTGATTTCAAGGAGGTACAACTATTTAAAAGATAAAAATAGTTTACAGCCATCATGATATTTCGAATTTGGCTTGGGCAATTTGTCAAACCAAATTATCAATGTTTCTGTGTCAGAGTCTTTCACAACTTCGTTGGTCCATTTTAGCAAAGCCGATGGATGCAATTTCATGCCCCCCTCTTCCAGCAACAGATTCATCCCAAACCATGCAATAAGCTTTTTTTCTGTGGCGTCATATATGGTTAAATTTAAGGTCCAAAGTTTCAGTGAATAAAAACTTTTAGCATTGGTTAGATGGGGAGTTGGTAAGCACTTTTGTAAATCTAACATGATAACCTTAGTTTTTTCTCCCGCCGCTACTTTATCTTGTTTCTTCCAGCTATAGCGAATTTCAGCATCTTTTAGGTGACAATCAATTTTTTCTTGAATGGTTGCTCGTTCTTCTACTGAGTTTAAATCCTAAATTAAACTCTGTATTGAAGATATGGCAATATACCCAAGGTTTAGCAATCTGACTCTTTGGAAGACCTTCTTCCTCATATTTTAGTTTGTACAGACTGAAAATCTTGTTTGTATTAAGTTCGCTTCCCAAGTACTTCCTTTTCTTAATTTTTTCACGACTATAGTGGGTTTCATAAACTGGAAAAGACCGAATTTGAGTGCGAATCCCTTCCTTAATGACTTCAGGCAACTTATTCTTTGGTTCGTGTCTCCCGCGTATGTCTTGTGAAACAAAGCCTCCTCTTTCTGATTTTTTCAATTCGTTTCTAACCACTGTCTCGGATATCCCTAATGTATTCAAAAAAAAAACTTTGCACATATTGATAATTTTTCTATCAACTTCAAAGTTATAACGTATTGTCTTGTTTTCTCTGTTCGTCTCTTGTGCCAGTTGACGACCTCTTCCGTTTAATTGGAGAACTTTCTATTCTGGAAAGCACAAACTGTCGTTGGAGGTCCAACTCTTATTTTCATTCCAATAGTTGTTGAATGTTTGTTCACGTTTCAACTCGTTAATTTTATCGGTACATTTTTTTCTACATGGGCCACAACCGCGTCTTATCTTTTTTGCACTAATATTTTTTCCCAGTTTGGAAACATGTTCTTTTCCAGCCAACGTTGCTTTCTGTCTTTTCGTTACCTCCCAACCCGCTTCGTTTCTTATCCGCTTTCTAGGTTTTCCTTGTTCTATAACTGTGGCTCAGTTTCTATATCAACATTCTCCTCTTCTCTCTGATCATTATCAGTCTCATTTTCCATGTTGTTTGTCTCTTCATCTCTGTCACTTTCGTCTTCGCTCGTGGGAATAAATTCAGGATCATCATCACTATTATTCCCAAACGGTTCAGGTTCACTATCAACATAGTTTCCTTGGTCTGTAACTGATTCACTTTCTATGGCATTCTCGTCTTCTCGCTGATCACTATTTATCTCATTTTGCGTTATATCCTTAGTCTTCATCTGTGGTATCATTTTCCTTCTCGCTTGTTTGAATAAAATTGGTCTTGTTTTCATCAGCATCTCTTAACGGTTCAGGTTCATTTTCCATATTAATCTCCTCTTCTCTCTGATAATTGTATGACCTATTTTCCATGATGTTGTTTGTTACTTCATCTGTGATACTTTCCTATTGGCTTGTGGCAATGAAGATCGGATTTTTGACACCATCGTTCTCAAATGGATGAAGTTCATTATCAACATGGTTTTTCTCAACTATTAGTATTATTCGTTCTTCTTGGTGGACTGATTCTTCGAATTTATTACTATTATTCAGAATTGCTGAAAAATAAAAAGAGTAAAAACAGGAGGAACCTAGGTATAGTTTCTTTAATGATGTGACTAGGATAATATTAATAATTATTATTATTATCTGATTACTAATTATTAATATTACACCTATTGATTACACCTTACAATTTGATCTAAACTATTTCTAATTACCTGGCACTGATTCTTCCAAGGAATTTACTCGAATAACATCCCTATCATTGATTGACGAGACGTTAGGCATTTCTAAAAATTTAAATTAAGCTCATTGGTAAACAGTAGTATCTCCAATAATAATAGGTAAAGGAAAATTAGGAAGAAACAATTAGAAATGGATCATTTAAAACTATCCTAATACACTGCAAAATGTCATAATGTATCATTTAATAAACAATTTTAGCGATATTGTATTATTTAAAAAATATTGCTATTAAAATAATGTCCAACTTACCTCGCATATTAGGGATACCAGAGGGGTTATTACTAGGATCTCTTATAAGATTTAGTTTTTTTTTGGGCCTCTTGTTGACATTTTGTGGCACTCTATTTGACCGCCAACATGAACTATGGAGTTACGATTGTTTACCAACTTGGTATTTATGAAAACTTGACTGCGCATAATCGCATGTTGGATATACGATTTTTTACCTCTTTGAGAAGTGGATATACTATCAGAACATAATAATAATAGACATACGATTTTTTACCACTAAAAAAATGCATTATCTCCATTTAATGAAAAATGGAGATACGATCATTTACCACCAAAGTACAGACATAGGGGTCTATTCTGTAACAATTCCTTCATATTTAACGGCCTTTAAAAATATTGGCGGCCTTTAAAATATTTTCGTATTCGTTAATTTACTTCTGTCATTATTTAAACAGATTTCTTTAAGATAGTCCTCTAATGTAATTTAAAGATCCGTTTAAATAATGACAGAAGTAAAGAAAAAAATATTTTTAAAAGCCGTTAAATATAAAGGAATTGTTACAGAATAGACCCCAATGGGGTCTATTCTGTAATAATTCCTTCATATTTAACGGCCTTTAAAAATATTGGCGGCCTTTAAAATATTTTCGTATTCGTTAATTTACTTCTGTCATTACTTAAACAAATTTCTTTAAGATAGTTCTTTAATGTATTTTAAAGATCCGTTTAAATAATGACAGAAGTAAGAAGAACATATTTTTAAAGGCCGTTAAATATAAAGGAATTTTTACAGAATAGACCCCAATGGGGTCTATTTTCTTTTCTTCTGTTATTATTTAAACGGATCTTTAAAATACATTAAAGGACTTAAAGAAATCTGTCTAAATAATAACAGACGTAAATTAACGAATACAAATATACTTTTAAAAGCCGCCAATATTTTTAAAGGCCGTTAAATATAAAGGAATTGTTACAGAATATATCCCATTGTCTGTTAACTTTTTTTTTAAATCATTTTTTTTTTATAAACTTCATTAATATCCTTTACTCGATTTTGTTCAAGATACGCAACCTACATTTTCTACGCTTATCTCAGATTTATAAATGTTAATAGTTTAATATTATTTTACTTATGTTTAATAATCATTATTAAATAATTATCCTTGTACATGATAACTTAAAACGGGTGATATATTATTAATAAAATTATATATAAAGAGTAACAATATTATATTTTTCAGATCAACGGCATCAGATACTTCCAACCGGTGACAACATAACTGTGGGTCTAGTAGACAACTCGCAGACAGATAAAGTATAGTATTATCCATTTTCCCCCAAGGTGATAAGTCGCAATATATTTTTCATCTAGTGCTAAAAAAATGAGTTGTGTGCCAACTAAACAAAAAAAATATTGTAGGACAATTATTAAGCGTTAAGCGACCCGTCGGATTTTACATATCGGACGTCCCTAAATTAATTCGGGTTCGCTTTTAATCAATCAATTTTTTTACATTAAAGAACATGATAGAAGTGTTTATTTCTGGGACGTCCGTTATAATAAACAAGAATAATGAGCTTTGCTAATTTTTGATGAAAATAAATTACAGAGCTACATGAGGTTTAAGGGATAATGGTTTTTTAAAAATACGTGAAACTACTTGGTCTGAATTAAAGGAAATTCTGTAATTTTGAAAACCGTTTATAGCGTGTTTAAGATTAATATCGGCTTTAAATTAATTAAAATTTATCTATTTATGCAATTTGAAAATAGTACTTATTCACCTGTAATTATACATTTTTGTTGGTCCTTCGGGCCAGTCTTTTTTCGTGACAATAAATGACACCGGCGTATTATATTAGATTAGCAATTCGTAAGTATTTATAATGTAAAATAATCAAATGACAATATTTGTCGTCATTCTATACATACGAACGACAATCTTTGAAAACATTCCTAACCACTATTTCAACTTTCATTTTTCTTAGTTCCACCCCGATTTTGACGGAGATTAATGTTTTTTACATAATGACGTTTTCAGTCAATCAAATACTTCACAAATATAGTTTTCAGATTATAATTAACATTTGAAAATGGTTTCAAATGTCAAATATTAGCTTACTGAATATCATTAAAATACTTTAAATATTGAAAATGTATTTTAAAATGTGTCAAATTGAAAATGATCGTTTTTCACAAGGTGACGTCATTATATCAAAAAGGTCGTTTTCAAAATGTTAAAAATCGTTTATTACAAAAAAATCCGTGTTTAGTAATTTTTTTTTAAGTTTCTGAGCGTCAGTATATCGGTAGGGGGAATTTAACAGGTTAAGCGCCATGGCAGACACCGCTTCAAGTTTTTCCACATGGGCCATGGATGTCACCGGTGTCCGCCCGATTATCGAATTTTTATTCATGCGCCTCGGCCAAGCGGACGCACTTTTATAGAATTTTTTAATGCTGTGAGACCGCCGTGGCCCTGCTTTACACATCCCCGGTTCTGGGTTTCGTGTGTGTCCGCTATGGCCCAGGACTAAAAGTTCTCCGTTTCCCCCAGCTACTAACAACCCATCAAAAATACATTTGGAAAAAAAAATTATTTGTCGAATATAAAAGTAACATAAAATCAAATATTAATTATTTCTTGTGGAAATCGTTGAAATAATAATAATAATAATAATAATATTGCGCTCTTCTGCCTGTTTGTAAATAAAATGCGCATTGACCATGGAGGTTCCTAAAAGTACCTCTATAGCTACCTTTTTATACCACCGAACACTTCTTCTCAACGCCGCTGGACATCTGATCCGACACGTCTATTGAACTTTTACCATTGTTGTAATCTACGATTGCTTTAGGTTTGTGTACTACACCACCACGGCGTTGAACTGCTACTGTTTCATCAGTGTGACAAGTGGTCAAAACCAACGCATCCCTTTTGTCGCGCCATTTCACAATACATATTCCTCATTCATTTTCTTGAGCGATAATTTCGCCCTTTTTAAGTTTTTTGGAAATTACTTCTGGAGGGTTTCCCTTTCGATTACCTCGTAATGTTCCGAGTGAGTGAGTTTTGTGATCCAAGAGGGTATGTGCTAGCTGCATGCTTGTGTACCAATTGTCTAATACAAATCCTACCGCTCTCTAACAGTCCATCTACTAGGTTCATTACAACTTTGGTGGAAATGAGTATTTTATCAGGATTTTCATCTCGTTCTTTCCCAGAATATATCTTACAATTCCAAGTGTATCCATTTTCATAACAAAGTTTGAAAATCTTAATTCCATATTTATGCCCTTTTTGTGGGTTATATTGTTTGAACAGCAACCTACCTTGAAAGGGGACTACTGTTTCATCTACACAGAATATCTTTCCAGGTGTGTAGATATATTGCCAGTTTTTCACTAGTTTGTCAAGAAGCGGTTGCACTTTATATAATCTATATCCTTCAGGGCATACCTTGTTGTCAGAAAATTGAAACATTTTCAATAATAGTTCGAATCTATTTCTACTCATAATTTTATGAGCAATTTCGTTTTTGAAAAACCATTTAGTGGACCAATAATCACGAATGGTATTAATTCGCACAATGCCCATATATCCCAGTAAACCTATAAAATGCAAAATTTTTTTTTGGGTTGATTGGCTCCCAAGAATGAATTCGGGCACTGTTTGTAATATTTTCTGTATCCATCACACATTGGGTCGCATACAGGTTAGTTTGGTCCACAATTATATCTATTATAGAAAAATCAACAAAAGCTAGATAGTATTCTAGTGGTTTGCAACTCTTCAAAGATGGTGGATACTCCGGCTTTATTCCATCATCAAAAGTTTCCTCAAATTGTAAATGATTTCCAACAGGTGGTCCCCAATTGGAGTTAGCTAAATTACGGAGTCCTAAGCCGATGTTTTTCTCTTGATTATCAACTTCTATTTCCTGGATTTCATCTTGAACCTCATCGTCATTATTTTCTGATTCAGCCTTTTTTTGTCCTTTTTGTTTCGACAACTTAACACGTTTATGAGAAATTTCATCTGAGCAACCAGGGGCGTTATCGTCTTTTATAAAAGTAACATAGTCACTGATTTTTCCACCATCTGAAGATTTAGCAGTCTCGGCCGATTTTTTCAACATCTCTCTTGTAGATTTACTTGAATCACTTCTTGTGTCACTCTCTTCAGCTCCTGAACTACTACCCGATGGTATATACGCCGGGTCATCGTAAGAATCGTCTAAAAATGGTTCTTCGTCAGAACTACTATCTGTAAAAAAATTGGTAATAAGTCAGATATTTTTATATTTACTAAACAAAAGTATAATTACCTACCTTCATTATGTTTTTCCAAAGCTAATTTTACAATTTGTTTTGAACGTTTACTCATTTTTAGTCACTGTCTAATGCCACACACGTGCGACTGCGAACCTCAATAACAAATAATTATTTGCTGATCGCTGCTTTGGCAAGCTCTGGCATGTTCAGTAAAAGTGGAAGGGCTATGTCGTGGGAGGGACTGGTACACCTATCTAAAATTGCACCTTTTTCAGGCCACGTCGGACACCGGTGTCCTCTCATCTTTTTTTGAGAAAAAAAAAGTATTAGGCTTCAGCATGAACACAACATAATCAAATCTATCCAAAGAACAAGATTCAGGCAAAAAAGTGTGTTGGCCCAGGTGGTAGTTTTGTTCAAAACAGCTTGGCGATTAACCTGTTAAGAAAATATGAGTAAAGATGATAGTTAATATTCTAATAGTCTTCTTAAAATAAGGCTATTACATTTTTCCAAAAAAATAAGCCGATATATTACTAAAACACGCTAAAACCTTAAACATCAAAGTGGTCAGCAAAAAAAAATCAAAATCAGCCTTCAGAAAAAGCACCGTTAACTTCGCCGACCACCCTGTTATGTAAATAAAAGCTTCAATGTGGTGTAAAATAACGTTGAGTTTGAAAGATGAAAATATCATGTCTTATGGACATTTATAAAAGTTGTTAAACCTTTTTTAAGTTCGATTAGTGAGTAAGTTTATAGGGGTAGAGATCCTCTCTCGACTTTGAGACATTCGAGCTAATATTAAAGTAGTTTCTATTTCAAAGCTTTTCACGACTATATTTTGCATATAAAATACCCGCAGTAATAACTGAAGGCTCCAACCCGCAGTCCAACTGTTCTGTTCCAAAAGTTAAAAAAATTGTTCCTAGTAAATAGTATATAAAGTATATTTTTATGTGAAATATAGTTGCGAAAACTTCAAATCATTCTCTCATTTAAAACATTTTTATCAGTCTTATCACGCTAAATTTCATAATGGCATTAGCAGATCTCGTTTATATATACAGCATGTTCGAATTTTACTTATCGACTCTATTGTAAAAGTAGCATCAGTCTGTAGTAAACTAGTTATTTCATGTAAAAGGATATCAGTAAAAATTCAAAGTTAAATCAAACAAAATCTACAAATTTGCAGAATTATTTTTATGAAATATATTTTTGCAAGTAAAATATTATATTTTGAATGTACTGGTGTCTTTGAAAATAATAACTTTTTATTTTATACTTAGCCATAAATATGTTTTGTCCGTCTTTATATTATTGTTTCTAACTATAGCATTTAATACAAAACTATTAATAGTGTGTATTGCAAAGTTCAATTCGATAAACTACCTAGAGTCTATTTTTTGTACAATATATTTAGATTAAGCCGCATAAACATTAATACAAATAAACAGGAGTATCAAAATATTTTAAAAAACTAGTAAAAAAATTCGTAAAATGCCAATTGTTCTTGACAGATGATGTAGAATATTACTTTACATTCTAAACATAATTGTGCTAGTCTAAATCATCAAATTATCAGTTGACCGGCATCACCTGTCAACAATTACTGTCACACAATGAACTGGAGTGGGGTAGAATGCCTATCAATAGGATGGGCGCAACATTTTATTTTTCATCTCATTCGGAAGTAATTACAATAACCATTTTCTATTTCACTCTAAACAATCCTGATCCACCAGATTGTGGACCAGACAATAAAACAGTGAAACAGAAAATGGTTATTATGAATAGTTCCGAGAGAGATGAACAATAAAAAAGGCTGCGCCCATGTCGTAACTAGTCATATTGACACAACATGCACATTACCATTCTACCTCACTCCAGTTCATCACATAGCAGTCTCGTACATCAACTGTCAACATGCCAGCTGTTATTGTCACAGATCAACTTACACTTTCAAATAAAAGTCGACCGGCGTTTTATGACAGCCAAAAGTGATTTGAAGAATAGAATCTTGCAATATGCTCAATTTTCATTAATACATTCCCTGAAGAGTGCTACTGATAAGTCACTACATTTTGCGTACCTATGATGTTGCATTGTTAAATTTATTTCATTTATGGTGCATTAAAAATAAGTTATAGTTCGTAAAAGCTAGGGAGGTTGTTGGAAATTTTGTTAAATCATTTACACCTCGTTCAGTTACCGCGCCCGGACAAATAACGTTCCGTTTTAAGACGCGTTTCGGGTACACCTCCGAGTAACCCCTTCTAAATTCTTTGGAAGTTTGCCCTGGTCAACAACTTTTTAGCGGGTTGTTTTTTGTGCAATGCGTAGTAAAATACTTATCAGGGGTTCGTTCTTAAATCAAAAGCGTCAAATCTTCAATCGTCCTGACAAAATTTCTGCCCAATAAATACGAACGGCAAGCCCAAATGTCACTTGTCATTATCCTCAAATCAAGTTTTTGTGTTATGTCTTATTTGAGATTATTGCAGGAATTATTAAAAATTAGTCAATTGGTAATTAATCTAATTGGAACAAGATACGATCTAGGGATGAGCAAAATAATCGATTAGTCGATTTTTTAAATCGGTAATCGATTATTTTTTATTAATCGATTATTTTCGGTTAATCGATTATTTTGATTAATCGATTAATGTTTTGGTCTTTATTTTCCAGTCCAAATCAGCACAAAATAATTAAAACATAATACACGACAAATTAACCCACTTTTTGAAAACTTTAACTTTAATAAACACACTGCAAGTCGTTGAGAATAAATACTTAATTATATTCTAATCGTGGTACTAATTGCCAATAAAATGATGCATATGGAACTAACTAGTAATATTTTTTTTTTTACTAAGAGTGGTAACAAAATCTTCAAAAGACATTAGACGTCTGAGA